AGTTTTTCCTTTGAACCCAGGGTCCCTACACTATGAAGCGCCTAGATCCAGGGGAAAACTGATGCCAAGATGCATGGAGATCTCTAAGGAATGCTGGGCCTGTTCAGTGCTTATCCTACAATGCCATACCAGGACTCCAGATAGGCCTACAGATGCTGAAAGGAGACAAGGACCCTTCTCCAGAGTTGACAGAGAAAACCTTCCCCTAGAGCCAGCACTCTGAATTTGGACTTCTAGCCTCCTAAGCCATGAGAGAATAAATTTCTATTTGTTAAAGGCATCCACTTGTGGTATTTCGGTTAGAGAACTAAGAGGAGTCCTGGTGTGGCACTGTGGGCTAATGTGTCAGACTGCAAAGTTGTTTGAACTGCAACATCAGTGGTTCAAGCTCACCAGCTGCTCCTTGGAAACCCTATACAGGGTCGCTATGGGTCAGAATCGACTCAACAGCACTTAACAACAACACAGAACTAAGACAGTGTCAATGGTCACACCACATTGTAAAAATAAAAATAAGAAAACAAAAGATATTCCAATGCCTCTCTTTCCTTAGAGTTACGTTTCTTTCTAATACAGAATTTAATCCCAAAAAGAATTATGAAGGTAAAATTATTAACAAAAAATGACATTCAGCAGTTTTTAAATCTGAATATTGCTTCCTATAGTGCGAGAATAAATTTATTTGTTAAAAGCATCCACTTGTGGTATTTCTGTTATAGCAGCAGCACTAGATAACTAAGACACATGTGTTAAAAAAAAAGAAAGAAAGAAATCAGTTGCTGTCAATTCTGACTCATGACAACCCTTTTTATTGAACTCCATGGGATTGTCAATTTTGGAAGTAGATTGCTAGGCCATTCTTATGAGACACCTCTTGGTGAATTTGAACTGCCAACCTTTTATTTAGTAGTTAAGTGCTTAACTGTTTGTGCAACCCAGTGACTTCTAATGTGTAGTAAAAACCCAAAATCAAATCCTTTATAGTTGAGTCAATTCTGACACATGGCTACCTCATGTGTGTTAGTCGAACTACTCCATAGGGTTCCCTTGGCTGTAATCTTTACAATGCAGATCATTGTGCCTTTTTCCCGCAGTATTGCTAGATGAGTTCAAATCGCTAACCTTTTGGTTATTTGTTGAGCACAAATACTTTGTATTATCCAGGGGCCTTCACATTTGTAATAGACATCTCAATATCTACAGGCTGAAAGACTAACTCCTGATCTTTCCCCAAACCTGATCTTCTCACAGCCTTCCCCATCTCTGTCAATGGAAACTCCATTCTTCCAGTTTCTCAGGTGTTTATGGGAGAATGCTGGCTGCACCCACAAAGCCTGCCAGCTGCTCTGCAAAAGAAAAATGAGGCTTTCTGCTCCCATGAAAATTTAAAGTCTCAGAAACACTATACAGGATCACTATGAGCCAGAACAAACTCAATGGCGCTTAACAACAACAAGAACAAAGAGTTTATACAATAGCTTACAAGGATTTCCATGATCTGGTCCCTGCCAAACTCTCTGACTTCATCTTCAACATTTTCCTGCCTTCACAGCCACCTGGTATTCATTCAAAAGTCACCCTATTTAAAAGAGCAACCCTCTCCATTCTTTTCTTCTTTCCTCTATATTCCCCCTCCCTCCTTGATTTTTCTCAATAATGATCACAATCTGTATAGTTTACTTTTTAATTTTGTTTGTGTCCCCACCCCTTCTAGTATGTAAGCACCATTAGAGTAAGAGCGTTGGCTGATGTTCAACCATTTCAAAAGGTAGCATATGACCAAGAGCCAATGATACTGAAGGAGGAAGTTCAAGGTGCATTGGAGGCATTGACAAAGAACAAGGCACCAGGTAAAAATTGAAATCTTTCAAGAAAGTGAGACGGCACGGGAAGCACTCATTCATCTATGTCAAGAAATTTGAAAGACAGCTATCTGGCCAACTGATTGGAAGAGATCCATATCTGTGCCCATTCCAAAGAGAGGTGACCCAACAGAATGCGGCAATCATCGGACAATATATTTGCTATCCCATGCTAGTAAAGTTTTACTAAAGGTAATACAGAAACGGCTGCAAGCATACATTGACAGAGAACTTCCAGAGATTCAAGCTGGATTCAGAAGAGGACGTGGAACGAGGGATATCATTGCTGATGTCCAATGGATCTTGGCTAAAAGCAGAGAATACCAGAAAGATGTTTACATGTGCTTTATTGACTACACAAAAGCTTTTGATTGTGTGGATCATGACAACAGTGTGAAGTATGAGTATTCCAGAACACTTAATTGTGCTCATGAGGAACCTGCACCTGGACCAAGAGACAGTTAGTTGTTCAAACAGAACATGTGATGTTCTAAATGGTTTAAAATTAAGAAAGGTATGCGACAAGGTTGTATTCTTTCACCATACTTATTCAACCTGTATACTGAGCAAATAATCCAAGAAGCTGCATTATATGAATAAAAATGTGGCATCAGGATTGGAGGAAGACTCATTAACAACCTGCGATATGCAGATGACACAACCTTGCTTGCTGAAAGTGAAGAAGACTTAAAATACTTACTGATAAAGATCAAAGACCACAGCCTTCACTATGGATTACATCTCAATGTAAAGAAAACAAAAATCCTCACCACTGAACCAATAAACAACATTCTCATCAATGGAGAAAAGTTTGAAGTTGTCAAGGACTTCAGTCTTCTTGGATCAACCATCAACACACATGGAAGCAGCAGTCAAGAAACCAAACGATGTATTGCATTAGGCAAATATGCTGCACAAGTGTTGAAGAGCAAGGATGTCAGCTTGAGGACTATGGTACGCCTGACCCAAGCCATGGTATTTTCAATAACCTCATATGCAGCTGAAAGCTGGACAGTGAATAAGGAAGACTGTAGAAGAATTGATGCTTTTGAGTTATGGTGTTGGAGGAGAATATTGAAAGTACCACGGGCTGCCAAAAGAACAAACAGGTCTTTGTTGGTAGAAGTGCAGCCAGAGTGTTCCTTGGAGGCCAGGATAGCCAAACTTCATCTCTCATACTTCAGATATATTGTCAGGAGGGACCAGTCACTGGAGAAGGATATCATGTTTGGTAAGGTGGAGGGTCAGAGAAAAAGAGGAAGACCCCCAATGAGATGGGTTGGCAAAGTGGCAGCATCAGTGGGCTTAAGCATGGCAACAATTATGAGGTTGTCTCAGGACCGGACAGTGTTTCGTTCTGTTGTGTGTAGGGTCGCTATGAGTCGGTACTGACTTGATGGCACCTAATAACAACAACCACTGGCTAGACTGGAACCAAGCACAAAGTAAACTGTCCATGAACATTTATGGATCCTTTTCTGGATCATGACCAAATGGCTTAGATAGGCAATTAAACATAGAAATTAAGTACATGGATGCTACAGCCTGGGTTCAAACACCATACTAGAGCCTGCCTGAGTTCAAATTTAGACTCCAGTAACTAGCAGCAGAGACTTGTGGTGTGTTCTGTAGGATCAGCACTGGACTCCAAACTACAAGGTCAGCATTTCAAACCCAGTTGCTCCTTAGAAATCCTATACAAGGTTGCTATGAGTAAACTAGACGGCACACGACAGCAAACAACAATTAGCAACAGACTTAAACTTTTTAACAACAATTTTTAAAATCAAGGATTAGGACAGGAAAAAAAAAAAAAAGACAAACTCTGTGGGCCTTGGTTTTCATATCAGTGAAGTAGGACAATAGCAATACCTATTTCATAGAGTGTCTATGGGGCCATTAATAAGTATATTGTTGGTTGTTGTTGTTAATGTGCCATCGAGGACCCTGCATAGGGTTTCCAACCTTGCAGTTCAAACCAACCTTGTGGTCCAATGTTTATCGTATAGCACCACATCAGGACTCCATATGGCACTTAGCAAATGCTGCATAAGCATTTGTTACAATTGATATATATTCATATGTAGTTAATATTTGTATCAATAGTTTGTTGTTGTTGTTAAGTGCTATAGAGTCAGAATCTGACCCATAGAAACCCTCTATAGGGTTTCCAAGGAGCACCTGGTAAACTTGAACCATTGGCCTTCTGGTTCAAGCATACTGTGCAGTCCAGCTCATTAACCAACAGCGCCACACCAGAAGTCCAATAGTTTAGATTTACTAAATTATTTTCCCAAAATCTTGCACTTGCCTATGTTAAAATTAATTTACCATGTTTCTGCTCACTTACATAGACTTGTATGATCTTCATGTAATTTTAGTTAGTGCCATTGGTCTGGCTCCTCATGCAACTTAAACATTTGCTGTGTATTCTCTCTTGCACTCACTTATAAAACTGTTAAATCTAGTTGGGCCCCCAGGTTCCTAATCTGTACAATGAGTGGGTTGGACTAGATAATATCTAAAGGCCTTTCCAGCTCTGACAATCTCTCAGAGCTGGGAGGAGGAACAGACCCCACCCTGAGCTCCACGCCCTTGGATATGCCTTCTGGCTGCCAAAGGGAAGGGTGACAGAGTCAGCTGGACTCAGCTTGAAGTGGACCAGGTAGGAGATGTGTCAGAGTTCTTGGGCAAGGGTTGCAGTGTAAGTCTGGGCTATAGACAGTTGGGGAAGGCATTAGAGGTAAATATAGTATGGAGAGGTGAAGATAACTTATGGAAAGACACCCCTTTTCACAAGGACAGAGCTGTTGCAAGGAGTTAGGAGACGATGTAAGTCTGGGCATCTTCCCAGTTTGGGTGACTTTAATAGGCTTCCATCTCCTTTGGCTAGCCAGGCTCTGAAGGACTGAGTCAGCTGCAGTATGGCAACAACCCAAACCACTGAGTGCCTTCTTGAGTTCCCAAACTGGCAGAGCCCACCATTACCTGGGTTGGCTCAAGGGAATTCAGGTAGAAACCAGGCTGGTCCGGGTTGCACTTGAATGCATTGTTGTTAGCCTTCTCTAATACTTCAAGCACTGTTCTCTGCTCCTTTACCCCTAGTCAAGGCTGTGGGACCAGGAAAATTAAGCCACTCTCACTTCTGTCTTTTTCACTTCTAGAGGAGCCATGACCAGTACACAGTCCTTGCTGCTCAAATCCCTTGTCTCCAGCCCAGATCCAGACAGCAATGAGGTGGAGCTGGACTGCTGGTTTGATGAGGAGTTCAAGTACATCCTGCTTCCTGTGAGCTATGCAGTTGTGTTTGTACTGGGCCTGGGCCTCAATGCCCCAACCCTCTGGCTCTTCCTCTTTCGCCTTCGACCCTGGGATGCAACAGCAACCTACATGTTCCACTTGGCTTTGTCAGACACCTTATATGTGCTGTCACTGCCCACCCTCATCTATTACTACGCAGCCCGCAACCACTGGCCTTTTGGCACTGGACTCTGCAAGTTTGTACGTTTTCTCTTTTATTGGAACCTCTACTGCAGTGTCCTTTTCCTCACCTGCATCAGCGTGCACCGGTACCTGGGTATTTGCCACCCATTGCGGGCACTGCGCTGGGGCCGCCCACGCTTTGCAGGCCTTCTCTGCCTGGCAGTTTGGTTGGTTGTAGCTGGTTGCCTCGTGCCCAACCTGTTCTTTGTCACAACCAGCACCAAGGGGGCCACCATCCTGTGCCATGACACCACTCGGCCTGAGGAGTTTGATCATTATGTGCACTTCAGCTCAGCAATCATGGGGCTACTCTTTGGCGTGCCCTGCTTGATCACTCTAGTCTGCTATGGACTCATGGCTCGGCGCCTGTTTCGGCCCCTACCAGGGGCAGCCCAATCATCTTCTCGTCTCCGTTCTCTCCGCACCATTGCTGTGGTGCTGACTGTCTTTGCTCTCTGCTTCGTACCTTTTCACATCACCCGAACCATTTATTACATGGCAAGGCTGCTGGAAGCTGACTGCCAGGTGCTGAACATTGTCAATGTGGTCTACAAAGTGACTCGGCCCTTGGCCAGTGCCAACAGCTGCCTGGATCCTGTGCTCTATCTGCTTACTGGGGACAAATATCGACGTCAGCTCCAGCAGCTCTGTAGTAGTAAAGGGCCCCAACCTCCTACAGCTACCTCGTCACTGGCACTTGTATCCATGCAAGAGGAGAGCAGTTGTAGGTGGGGAGCAAAACCTCAGGACAGCATCTGCTATACCTCTGGGGCAGAAAGATTGTAACACTGGAAAGCAGGAAGTGAGAGGAGGGCAGAGGTGGGGGAATCTAATAGGGATACCTGCTAAGGCTGCTTCCTCCTGTTTTCCAGGCTCTAGAGAAAAATATAAGACTTAGGGGGAGGTAGGGAAATCATGTGTGACACCTGTCTTTCTGAAGCTCTTCAATTACCTCCTCCTTTCTAGCCAAAGGCAGTAGCAGTCACCTGCTCAATCCTACTTCATTTTCTTTGTTTCTGTCCCCTTCCTAGGCCATTAGTCCTGTTTCTTGATGCTAAAAGGCTTCCCAGAATTTGCTTCAGTAATCCTTCTCCATTTCTTTTTCCCTCACATCCTTGTATAGAATGCATTTTATCCAGCCAGATCAGGGCATTCAACTGGAGGGGTGGAGAAGGTGGAACAGTCTCCAGATTGAGCTGATTTAGCTGATGATGATAGCCAGAATCATTAAGTGAGGGCACCCACATATCACAGATGCCAAGGATGTGACAAATGTAGCAGCCACACCCATTTCCTGGTTCCCCCTTAATGACAGGATATTCTTGTCTACTGAAGGGTGAACCTGCATGCCAGAGTCCCCACAGACAACTGGAAGTATGGTACTAATGAACTGGAGCCCTGAGCTCTGAGCCCTGAGCCCTGGGTTGGAGACCCCAGGGAGCCTCAAGGGGCAGAGTCCAAGCTGATAATGGCCTTTGGAACAGGAATAGTATTGTGCCGCCTTTATGATGTTTGCTGAGAGCATATTTTACAGTTCTCTTGTGCTCAATGAAAGGAAGAATGATAGTTTAAACTGAGAGGGAGGAGCTCTTATGTCTATGGCTGTAAATTCCTGCACACACAGAGAGAGTAGGTTTATGCAGATGATGGGTAGTGCCAGGAGCTGACGCCCAGAACTAGCTCTTCACTGGTCTCTCTCCTTTCTCTAGTTCCTGTCATAGATAAATGATCAATCTGTCACCAGTCCTTTCAGATTAGGATTTAGGACTTCAAGGCCAAGGCCAGAATCTGAGACTAGCAAGGCTGTCCTCAGAGTTTCTTGGCTAATCAGTCCCCCATCACCAGCACCATCTTAGCACTTATAGGCTTTGGGGAATGAGGATATGAAACTTGGGGATACTAAAATGCTAGTTCATTTACTACTAACAGAAGGGGCCCTCGGTAGCAGGCAAGTCCTGGACATACAGGGAGGAAGAGGGAGCACTTCAAAGAAGGAAAAGAGGTATTCAGGGTCCTACATTATGACTTCTTAAGCAACACCTTGCCTGTTGCAAAACTCAGAATATACCTCAATTTCTCCCTGCTTCACTTTAATATAACTCTACTTCTAGGTCCATCTTGTCTTCTGCTCTTTATTCCCTACAGTCCCAGGATAAGAGGTGGTCTTCTTTTTTGTTCCTTCATTTATCATCATTTTCAGTCTCTCCCACCACTGATTTCACCCCATCTTAAAACAGCGGAGTGTGGGACCCTACCCAGGGAAGCAGTGAGGCCAAAAATGGAGGCAGAGACAATGACATGGACAGATGGAGCAGCTGGGGACACTGGACCCAGGGAGAGAGAGGGGCTGTGTGCTGACAGCCGGGGGGCAGACTTGTGGGGCCTTTGGTTGTTTGATGGTGCATTGAGGGGATTGTAATCATTGCAATGAAATGAAATACGATAGGATGAATGTAAAACTGATGTTCTTCCATATAGACCCATATAATTCACAATAAAAACTTAAAAAAAATAACACAAGCACACAACAACAAAAACTGCAAAGCATTGTTGTTGTTGTTAATTGTTGTCGAGTTGATTCCAACTCATAGCAACCTTGTATAGGATTTCTGAGGAGTCGTGGTGGGTTTGAACTACTGATCTTGTGGTTAGCAGTCTGGTATTTACAGTGCCAGACAAAGTATTGCACAAAACAAAAACCAAATCATTATCTTGACCTGCTATCTTGTCTCACTACTATTAATCTACCAAATTTCTAGGAAGAGTACTATAAACCCCATTTCCTCACCACCAAGCTCTTCTACTTTCCTGTATCTAGAGAACACAAATGATGTCATAACCAAGACCTTTAATGACCTTTCTTTACTTTCATCCTCCTTGACCTCTCTACTTCATTTGACACTTGCATATCCTCTTTAAAAATTTTATAGTAATATTTTATTAAATGTCCAATATGATGGCACCAAGGGACGTTTTGAAAGAAAATATTCTATGCTTCTAAACTCTACAGAGTTATTTCCATTTTCCATGTTCCATGCTTTGCATAAATGTATGTATCTTGTGTAAGTGTAATCATAGCGTATATATCTTTTTAAATTCTATATTTGAAAACTGTCTATTGTAAATATCCCTCCTGTTGCTAAAGTCTTTCATATTTATAATTTTAATGGTCATATAAAATTGCATCCATCAATAAATATAATTTATTTTACTATTCTATTATTGTACACTTAGGTGACTCCTACTTTTTCTATTCTTTGAACATCTTAAGGCATATGACTTTTCCTTCTGTAATTCTATTTCTAGGGCAGGTTCCCAAGAGTGGAATTTCCAGTTGAAAGAGCATGAACATTTTTATCAGTCATAGTTTCCAAAAGGACTGTACAAATTTCTAATATCACATGGTACATAAGTGTTACAATTCCTTTGAATCGCTAGCATTGAATTACACAGTAAATATTTCAGCATGATTTTAAAATTCTTTTGTTCATTTCATTTATTTGATTACTCATGGGATTAAATTCCCCATATGTTTGCTATTTCTATTTCTCTTGTGTGAATTGTCTGCTCATATCCTTTTCCAATTGAAATCTTACAATTCTTATGTATCTAAGTCTGTTCTTTATATCATATATATATATGTTGTTATTGAGTGCTGTTGTGTCGACTTTGACTCATAGAAGCCCTGTATCGGATTTACAAGCCTTTTTAAATCTTTGCAGGAGCAGAAAACCTCATCTTTCTCCTGCAGAGAAGCTGGTGGGCTCAAATCACCGACCTTGTGGTTCACAGTCCCATGCTTACCCCACAGAGCCACTGTGCTCTTATATGTATATGTTAGCCCTTTGTTATTTTATATAAATATATCTCCAATTTATTGTTATGCTTTTAATTTTAGTTCCTTAATTTTTTCCCCACTTTATTTTTTAAAACTTTTGAGTGTGAATTGATTGAAGGTTTACAGAGCAGATAATTTTACATCCAACAAATCACACACTTTGTCTCATGTCAATGATCACAATCCCCTCCATGTAACAAGAGTTATTCAATTTCTTCCCTGTGGTTCCTATTTTCATATCACCCTCCTTCCCAACTTTTCTGAAGCTTGTCCCTCATGATCTTGAATGGTTGGCCATTCCATGGTAAGCATACCTCATTAATGTTGTAGTCCCTGATACATACCTACTGCTAGGTGGAAAATTGGGACATGAAGGTGAAGTGTTTATTTCCTCTGCCCATTTTTTAAACTGGTTTGTTTTTCTTTTCTTTTTTTCTTTAAAGGTTTTTATTATTTGGAGGGAGCTGGGGGAAGACACAGTGGACCTGCTCAGTCCTTTTTGGCAGCTGCTTTCCTCATGGCAGCCAGGACATTGCCGAGCTCCTTTTGCTCCCTCTTGGTGTGGTTGTGTGTCCCCACCCTTTTCTTGAAGAACTTGAGTGTCTGCTTGTCCTTGGAAACCTTGAGCAGCTCCATGGCACAGCGCTCATAAGGCACAAAGCCACACATTTCCCAGATCATGTCCCGCATGAACTTGGTGTGCTTGGTGAGGCGCCCACGGCGGTGGCTGTGCTTCAGCTTGCTCTTATTCTTGGTTACTTTGTGGCACATAGTGAGGCCAATGGCCATAGGGTAGTGCACAGCCATGACTGCTACTTTTCAATGCTGCTGCAGTGGCTGTTTGTCTTTTCTTGTAGAGGTGGTGGTGATGTTGTTAAGTGCCATTGAGTCAATTCTGACACATAGCGACCCTGTATAGGGTTTCCAAGGAGTAGCTTGTGAGCTTGAACTGCCGACCTTGCAGTTCAAACGGCTTTGCAGTCTGGTGAATTGTTAACCCACAGCGCCACACCAGGATTCCCTGTAGAGGTGTAGTTTTCTATAAATTTTAGAGACTAGTCCCTTGTCTACTATTTCATTGCAAACAATTTTTTGCCCAGTTTTGGAGCTCTTTTACTCTTTTGGTAACTTTTTTTTTTTTTTACTTTTTATTGTGAATTGGGTGAAGGTTTACAGACAAGATCCTCAGCTTTACATTAAACAAATTATACAGTTTGTTTCATCTCAATTATTACAATCCCCTCCCTGCAACAGCACTTATCCTGCTTATATTTCACAAATGAACAAAGCAAAATTAATTAATATATACTTAACAAAAGATACATATTAATTTAAATGTCCAAAGGGCACATTTCTGCCAGCCAGCCTCCTGCCCTCAGGAGATGTGCCTGCAACTGCTCTGTCTCTCTGTGCCACCACCTCTGCCATCATCTCTGCTGTCACTGCTTTTCAGGTAGGGATCTCTCGCTCCACTCATGCTCTTCCTTCTTGTTGGTCCTGGGATCATCTGTTCCTGAAAAGAAAGATTAACTACTTCCCCTTCTAGTTACCCATCTTCTCCTATTACAATTATGACAATCACAATTAATCCTGCTAATAGTTTCTCACAATTGAGTCATAAAATCTATCACTGTCATCCCCCAGCCCGTGTCACCAGGTCTATGTGGAAAAAAGGGAAACTATTCAGTGGGGATTCTATCTTACCCCCATCACATTGAAACTAAGCACACTCATGAAAGCTTGTAAACCAGTCACTTCATGCTTTTATAGCCTCCCTCCACTTTTGATAGTCAACGTCTAAATTTCTCATTCTTATCAACCCAGTACACTAAGGAAACAAGGTTGTTCCTTGATATGAAGAATCCTTCCATAGTGGTTGGAATTTTGAGTCGCTGCATTCATAAGCAAAAGTCTAGTTCATCAAATTGTAGCAATTTGCACTTGTTTACCGCATCAAAATCTTTATCTTCCTCAATTTAAGTTC